GTAGAAGTGAGACGCCAAGGTACTAGGGTACCAGTAGGAAGATGGAACCTGTCCGTGACCTACTTAGAACAACAGCAGCCCTACTCAGTGGAAGACTAAATAAGAACGTCCCTTCAAGGTGAACTATACCTTGTTTACTTTAGAAAAAGTTCATAATTGTTTAGTGAATAATGTTTTGGATTTAACGTCATAACAAATTACAATATCTAACACAATAAAAGTATGCTTTCAATAAATGAATGAATAAAGTAAATAAGTACTCAAAAATAACCAGATAAGCCTTATACATATAAATGTAAAGTCAGTACAGTTCCACTGATAGCACTCACACTATTTTAATAAATATAATATAAACCATAAGATAACATTTTGCATTTAAATAGAAACAATACAATATAAAACCTACTCTGAGCTTAATGTATTTACAAGTAGTTTTTCCACGCGGTTTCACCCGATACTCGGTTCCTATTGATCGTAGCGTGATGTTTATATAAAAGCCTATGTCATTAAGCACTCCTTCAAAGATCTCCACTTAAAAGAATCACGTCAATTCGTCACTCCAGTTTGCCGTGAAAGACGGACAAACATATAGACACACACTTTCACATTAAATAATATTAGTACCTTTGTACTTTAGTTTTATATATGTGTTGTCCTTTATTTTGTATGTGTGTACATAAATAATAAAAAAATAATAAATAAGATTATCAATTTTATAACAACAATATATGAAACCAAGTCAGATTAAAATTCACCCCTCGAAGTTATATCACGTTTTATGTTAACACGGTGTAAAAAATTCGATACCTGCTTACTGGAGATTAGGGCCTAAAATGTAGACTTTAGCTTTCAAATAGCATTTATTGCCTAAGCTGGTATAAGACTACGTGACGTGACTTTCAGTAGGCACTTTAGGGAGCGCTCCGTAGAGTGCGGGTCGAGCCGCCAACGTGTGTTACTGCTCAAACTGGTTTTAGGGTTTTAGTTACTATAGCATATATGTAGTTAGTATGTCTAGCTAGCACCTAGCTTCACCTAGCTTCACTGACGGACTGACTGACAGACTATTATTTATTTTGTATTTGTTGACGTTTCAAAAGTACCAAACTATGGTTTAATTGAAATAAATGCTTTGACTTTGACTTTTACTTTTATGTATTTTAGCACACAATATCAGTAAATGTATTCATTTTTTTTATTCATTTATCTGGCCCACCAACAATTGTAGGTATACATTCTTACATTAAACAACAAACATTTAATTAAGATAACAGTAAAATGTTATATTTTATATTATTTTCATCAATATGTGGTACGTAATTAAGCATTCACTATTGGATAAGTCTTATAATTTTTTGTGTGTAGGACAATAAAGTCTTGCTTGACTATGACGCGGCAAACATCTCTCTTTTCCCACGAACATTTTAAGACCAAAATTAGGTAAATCGGTTCAGCTGTTCTCGAGTTTTAACGACACTCACGAACGGAAATTCATTTCTATTCATATATACCTCTATACTATTTAAGAGTATTCACTATAAAAATATAATACAATACATGTAAAATATAGACTTGATAACTGTCGAATATGAGCTATAATATTGTTTCTATAGTTGCATTTAAAAAGTTGTGTTTGTACAACTGCCTTGTATGCCTCGTTGGCCGAGTGGTCGCAAGTGCGACTGGCGGGCAAGCAAGGGGTCTCGGGTTCGATTCCCAGGTCGGGCAAAGTATTACTGGGTTTTTTTAAAATTCTCAGTAGTAGCACGGAGTCTTGAATTGTGCCCGGTATATGGCAATAGGCTCATTGTGCCCGGTATATGGCAGCCCCTATTACATGGGACTCATAACATAAATCGTGAAAAGTGGGTGTTTCATTGTACAGTGGCATAATGTACACCTCTGCCTACCCCTTCGGGGATAAAAGGCGTGATGTTATGTTATGTTATGTTTGTACAAATTGAGTAACTACAATTGATTTATTTGAGATTTTGTTTGATATCTTATTGTACAATGTAGACTATAAATAGAAGCGATGCCTACTCGGGGCCAAATCAATACAACAGGTAACTATTTCTGAACAAACCTAGGTAGTCTCGGAGATTGGTAACACTAAACTTTGTGTTCGTTAATTAATCCAGAAAATGGTAATATCAAGTTGGTTGTTCTTTTCTTATTTAAGCAGGTTTATACATAAACATCAATCACGCTAAATAAAGATTTTTATTTAATTATTATCGTGTTGTTTAATGTTGAGATATCTCACTGTAATAAAAAAGTCTATATTGCTTAATATATTGATTTATATATTTATTTATTTCACTTAAATAGTATTTATTTATTTTTAGTATGTTCGCTAAAGATGGCTCGGTTTCTGTGACAGGCCACTTAAAAATATGCAGTTATGATTACTTTTTTCGATATCTTGATTTTCAAATAAATACATTACATAAC